TGTTCCTGCGGATCTTCCTGTTTGACTGTGAATGTTTCTTCAATCTTCACATCTTCACTCTCCTCTTTAATAAACGCCATCTTTATAACAGTGTGGAGATCAGTCGCTTCAGCAGGAGTTTTTCTCTGTGTTTGGACACTTTATCCTGTTTAAAATAAATAAAACAATGAACAGAAACAAAATAACTTCTCTTCAACACTTGCTTCAATGGTTTCTTTATATAAGAGTGATTAACAAAAATAAATCAGGTAAAAAGTTTCAAAAAACACTTACTACACACTTTTCTGTTACTTTATTCGAACAACAGCCTTCGGTTACTGAGAATAAATAGCACTACTAAAATACTAAAATAGTTGTATAAAGGGTTAAAATATTATTTTTAACAGCAGTAACATAATATAACAACGTATAAAACCCTAAAACTTTAGAACTTTAACTTTAAATGGGTTTATAACTGTGTAAACGTTTTCAAACAAACCTTACTCCAGTTGAATTACAGCGATGAAGCGGCGCCGTCTGATGACGTCACACGCCATGCCAAAATAAAAGTCTTTTTTGTTTAGCTTTTTTGCCACTTACAGTTGCAGTCATGACTTATTGGTATATTTCTCCCATGGTTTTCACTTTACACTATATCTGCTCTCTCACACATAAACCTTAAATCTAAACATTTTCTTTACTTTTTAAATCCACTTTATAATGATTTGTATATGTCTACAACACATTACTTTCCTATTAATATCTGAGCCCAAATCTCATCCTCATAATTATGACCTCTTCTTTTCTATTTCTACAACTTCATAGGCCTATATAGAGTTTCCTTTTTCCACATGAATTGTTGTCTCTTATTTTCTGTGTTTCACATTTCCTGCCATTTTTTTAGCAATATATTCAGTAAAATATTTAATTTACCTTTACTTACAGAAGCAATAAAGGGGTAGTTCACATAAAAATAAAAAAATTACAATTCTGTTATTTACTCATCCTCTACTTAAGCCAAACGTGTTTTAGTTTCTTCTGCTGAATGCAAATATAGAGAATACAGAGGCAAAAACAGCCACTATGCTTCAACAGTTCCTACTTTGGACATGGCTGCTTTTTTCAACATTTTCTTGCACACAAAATGTTCTTGTGTGAACTCGATTACAATTGAACCACTAAAGTCACATGTTTTGACATAGTTTTTGGTTCCTTTTCTGGACTTTGAGCATCTCGGGACTCTTGCTGTCTATGACAGATGAAGGAGCTCTGAAGATGAGCAAAGTTGTCAGGGGATTGAAACAACAGGTAGACAATTGTTCTTGAGTGACTAGTGTACACTATAACACACACCTTCCACCAGTGCTCATCTACAGCCACATCGAACTTAAAAAAAAGTATTCATTTATTTTTTTATTGCAATAACAACAGGCCATTACAACAAACAGAAATACAAAAACAGATAGAAAGCCACATCACACTGCTCCTCGTGTGATATATTACTCATATATATATATATATATATATTTATTCATTTTCTTTAGAGCTCAGTCCCTTTATTAATCTGGGGTCACCATAGTGGAATGAACCGCCAACTTATCCAGCACATGTTTTATGCAGCGGACGCCTTTCCAGCTGCAACCCATTACTGGGAAACATACACACTCATTTACACACACGGCATGCCTATCATGTCTATGGACTTTGAGGAAACCAGAGCATCTGGAGAAAATCTCACGCAAACACAGGGAGAACATGCAAACTCCACACAAAAATGCCACATGACCCAGCTGAGGCTCAAACCAGCAACCTTCTTGCTGTCAAGCGATCATGCTACCCACTGCACCACTGTGATGCCTCACGTGTGTAATTATATAAAGTATTAAACTGGTATTGGTGAAGAACTATGCTTATTAAAAGGCTCCATTCAGATGTACTGATTGTAATGATCTGGGCAATCAAGCATGTGTTGTTATACACACCTATGATTATTTGTCCTAAGACAGAGGTTCTCAAACATTTTTCATCAAGTACCACCTCAGAAAAAAATGGCTTCTCCAAGTACCACCAAAATGAGCAGTATTGAAATACAGTAGCGTAGTAGGCCTAGTAAAGCAGCTACAACTCTGCACAGTTAAAAAACGTGGCAGATTACCTCAGAAATATAGGCTATATATAATATATGGCATATTATATACATAATTTTTGATAAATTTTGAAATGTGTGTAGCATGTACATGACATATTTCATTCCTCTGTGTACAACTAAAAGGAAGCCTGCGTACCAATAGTGGTACACATATCACAGTTTGAGAACCACTGTCCTAAGAGGTGTAAGGCAGGTCTTGTTCATGTAATATGCTTTAGGCTATATAGTTGGTATTGGCATTAACAGCTATACCTGTTAACAAGTTTCTTATATGTAAAACGACCCTATTCAGTAAAAGATCAGGCAGCTATTACTAAAGATGACCGCACACAATGATGAGCCATTTATTTAAATGAATATGTGACACAGATATTTAAATGTCATTGTTGCAAACAAGTTACAGGAGTAAGTGCAGTTGTTGTTTTATGTGATGTTCACCACTGTAATTACACCATAGTGAAACAGAAGTCTGAGAAATGCTGTAGTTGATGTAGGTGGAGCAGGTTAATCACATTAAAAGTTCTGCTTTGTGTAGTTATGAAAATGAACTCTTGTCATTGCATTACCCTGTATAAACTGCCTGTACAATAAATTACCTTGTGATGTAATTATTTTGTGATTATAAATATTTAGATGCATGACATATTAAAAAATGGACAGTATGTGATAGCTTTACTGTGTTAAAAGCAAAAGCTTTTGTCACAGGGTATCTTATATATGCTTTTGTGAATGTCTATGCATATTTGTATGCACAAACACAAATGATAAATAGAGGGAAAAACATCTTTGTTACCTATCAGGTGAATAAGAGGCTTTTGCGAAAGCTGAGCTGCTCACACATGTTCTGTTCAACTAAAAAACGAAGGAAAGAAAACAAAATTGGCACAGAAACAAGCTACATTTTGATTGTTCAAATCTATAGAGACTTTTGGAAAGAAATAATTGACCTGGTAAGAGTGTGTTGACTGTCTCACAGAAGCCAGTAATAAGCTGCATGTGCTTTAAGAGAAATAAAGGACTCTAAACTCACACAAAACTCTGAGAAGCTTCTAAAAAAACAACACACAACTCTTGCATTACCTTTTAACCAGGCTTGGAAAAGATAAATTGAAATGTGTTTCAAATCAAAGTACCTCAACATAGGTGTATCAACATTAACTACAAAATGCAGCAGCCAAAATAAAAACGCTTCAATCAATAGTATTATAAAACAACAGCAACAAAACAAATAGTGATGGCTAAAGTCAACTCATTTTCCCAATACATCATTATTTCTATGTAAAACTATGATTTGTAAAGCTGCTGGACTTCCCATCCCCTACAGTATGTGTCTTGAGTCTTCACTGCTCATTTGCGTCTTTATACCAGCATTAATGGGGGCCAATTGAGTCTTATCCAATCACATTCCAGATCCTGTAGCTCAGCAGGGTGATATCTTTATATTCTGCGTTCCTAAGAGAATCTTCATTGGCTTATTTCGCCAAGTAAAGAGAACAACTTTGGAGGACAAACTACTATTGTAGATTCCTACATTGGGATTATTACCAACAACAACCATTTTTTCATCCCACTTCTTCATTGAAGACTGAAAAGGTGAGTTGCACGTTCTGAATTTACACTCAAATAATATCTAAATGCTAACATTATAAAATGTAAAATCTAAACATGCGTGGATGCATTGTTCAACGCTGTCTTAAGTTCTTCAGTCATTTTTAAAAGCTTCTTTTTTGTTTATGGGAACTTTTTTGTTTGTTTGTTTATTTGGTTATAAATATTGTTTTTATCCTGACAAATGGACTGTAGCCCAAATAAGCTACAACATATTATATAGGTTGGAACCTGGCTGGCAATTTTGGAGAATTTGATGTTTTCCCATTCAAACATACAAAGAGGTGGTAACACCAGTGAATGCAAGTGAATGTGGGTTAAAGTTATGGATGAAGAAATGCAATCGTTTAAAGAAAATGCAACCACTTAACAACCTACCTGAAGGCAAATATCTAGTGGTTGTAAATAGATTTATTCAATTGACATAAATAGTGATGGTCTTACAAATACAAAACAGAAAGCAGATAAAGTAAAAAGTGGAAAACAAGGGAGAAATGTATCAATAAGTCATGACTAAGAGTAAGTGAGGGAAAAAGCTTTAAAAAAGACTTTTATTTTGGCGTGGTGGTGTGACATCATAAGGCTGCGCCACCCCAGTACTATGATTCAACTGGAGAAAGGTTTGTTTTAAAGCTTTTACACAGATGTAAACCGACTGGTTTAAATTTCAGGTTGTTCCTTTCATGCTAAATGTACCTGCTGTTGACAATATTATTTTAACCCTTTATACAACGAAGTACTATTTTACTCACAGTAAGGTCTATCGTTTGAATAAGATAGGAAAAACTTTATTTGTCCACAAGAGTAAATTCTTGTCTCCTGCAAAAGAGTGCTACAACGTTGCTGTAAGCAGACATTAAAATAAATAAAACAAACAAAATAATTAACATTTGTTAAAGTTTGAATAAAGCAACAGTAAAGTGTGTAATAAGTGTTTTAATGAAGGTTTAATTTATTAAATAGCATAATGTAATTCTATTCGAAGTAAACATAACTATATATAAGAAATGAAGTACTGGTCTTAATCTTCTCTTTTGTGGCTATTGTTTTTTGCTCAGACTTAACTAATTTCTTTTTGTTAATCACTCTTATATAAAGAAACTGTTGAAGCAAGTGTTGAAGAGAAGTTATTTTGTTTTTGTTAATTGCTTTATTCATTTTAAACAGGACATTTTTATTGTTTTGTTAATTTTAAACAGGATAAAGTGTCCAAACACAGAAAAAAACTCCTGCTGAAGCGACTGATCTCCACACTGTTATAAAGATGGTGTTTATTAAAGAGGAGAGTGAAGATGTGAAGATTGAAGAAACATTCACAGTCAAACAGGAAGATCTGCAGGAACAAACAGGTTGGTTTTCATTCTCAAAATCCATCTTGAAGCCCTGAGTGTGCTGTCTAGTTCTCCTAAATGCACATAAGCACTCAATGAAAAGACAGGAATGAGTTTCTTTCATCACTTGTTTTCATGTCTTTTGTCATTATTTTATGTATTATTAGTCTCTCATTTTCTCTACCTTCTTAAGTTTATTGCTTTTCTTGTTCTCTTACTGTTTGTAAAGCGTCCTTGAGCACTGGCGCTATATAAAGTAAATAAAAACAATAAATTTAAAAAGTTTAACTGAGCTGACGATATTTGACCTACAGTATTCTCATAGAAGATATCTGCTATTACGGTGATGGTGTTGGCTTAGTACTTTCCATTTGCATATGACACGTTGATCACAATTCTTCTTTATGGGTTTAAACTTGTTTTTAGTAGTTGTTACTAGTTCTCACACATATGATCTATGTAATACCCGGGTCTTAAAATGTCCTAAATTCAAAAACCTAAAATTTGAGGCCTTAAGATGTCTTAAATTTACGGAAATACTGTGTTGTAGGTCTTAAATCTTTTTAAACAAGTCTTTATTTTCCTTTGTTCATGTTTTGTTACCCAACCTGGCCAAAACTCATACAATCACCAACAATCCATCTCAATAAAACTTTAAACTTTTCATTTAAAAAGATCATTTTAACTCTATTTATCATAATAGTTTAATTATTTTTGTGCTTCATTTGTTCAAACGTGCTCCATGTATTTACTGCTGAGGACATCGACCTGGACAGATTGTTGTGCATAGATTTAGTTTATTATAGTTTTCAAAACTTTTGTTCATTTGTTTTTTATTTTAAAGAAAGTTTATTTTGGAAAAAAGTGTGTGGATCCTAGTCAAGCTCTCTTGTTTTTACACAATATTTAAGATTTTTTGCAAAGAAATATCTAAAATATTTTAACATTATTATTTATTTATATTTAGGTCTAACTAATTGCACATTGTGATTGACTATGGGATAAAAGGGTGGAGTTAGAGAATTATGCCACACACTGAGGAAGGCTTCGTGCCGAAACGTCTGTTTGTCCGTTATCACCCGTACAATGTAAGAAAAAGTAAAAATAAAAACAGTACGAAGCAATTGAGTGTGAATCATTACCTTCTTTTGAATAATAGCAACGATAAGATTAACGCACCAAACCAAATATGTAACTAAAAAAAACACACAAGCGTGCAGGACAAACTTCAGTAACTCTAAACATGTATTTCCATTTAAAGCCACAGGCACAAAAAGAGCTTGGTTTTCCTCTGACCCCTAAATTAAATATTCTACAAGTTATATGATCTGATTTTGAGCTGAAACCTCAGACACATTCTGGGAACACCAAAGACTTATTTTACATCTTGTAAAAAATGGGTAATTGTAGGAACCTTTTAAAGGAATAGTTGATGTAGAAATGAAAATAGCCTCACCATTTACTCTTCCTTGTGTGGTTTTAAACCTTTATGAGTTTCTTAATCCTGTTGAACACAAATAAGATGTTAAAAAAAGAAAAAAAAACACTGGCTTACTGTGTTCCACAATAAAGGAAATGTTTAAAACTACCTTAATGGAGAGTAAATGGTAAGGTTATTTTCATTTGTGGGTGAAACATCCATTTCTTGCTTATCGCTTTGAGCCTTCATACTAAAGTTAACTCTTTTTTTTTTTTATAGATCTGATGGTGCTGAAAGAAGAGACTCATGGACAAAATGAAATAGATGAGAAACAGCAGTTTCAGAAACCCCAAGAAATAATGACTGATGAAAAACCCACACTGACTAAAAAGACTTCATCACACGGAAGACTTCGGAAATCCAAATCTGGGTGTAATTTCAGCTGTAAACAGTGTAGAAAGAGTTTCAGTCAGAAGTCAAAGCTTGATGTTCACATGAGAGTTCACACTAGGGAGCAACCTTACACCTGCGAACAGTGTGGAAAGAGTTTTGGTCAAATACAAGGCTTTAAAGCCCACATGAGAATTCATACTGGAGAGGGGAAGTTCACATGCCAAGAGTGTGGAAAAAGCTTTTATCAAGCTGGAAACTTTGCAGCACACATGAGAATTCACACTGGGGAGAAGCCTTTCAGCTGTAAACAGTGTGGAAAGAGTTTCAGTCAAAAGTCAAACCTTGATGTTCACATGAGAGTTCACACTAGGGAGCAACCTTACACCTGCGAACAGTGTGGAAAGAGTTTTAGTCAAAAACAAAGCTTTAATACTCACATGAGAATTCACACTGGAGAGAAGCCTTTCAGCTGTAAGCAGTGTGGAAAGAGTTTCTTTCAAAAGCCAAACCTTGATGTTCACATGAGGGTTCACACAGGGGAGAAACCTCACACCTGCGAACAGTGTGGAAAGAGTTTTGGTCAAAAACAAGACCTTTACATCCACATGAGGATTCACACTGGAGAGAAACCTTACACATGCACAGAGTGTGGTAAAAGTTTCCCACATATAAGCACACTCAAACACCACATGAGGATTCACACTGGAGAGAAGCCGTTTGCATGTGCTCAGTGTGGAAAGAGCTTCACAACCAAAACTAGCCTCAAGAACCACATGAATGGTCACACTGGAACCATAGTGTTCACATGTGATCAGTGTGGAAAGAGTCTCACACGCAAAGACACCATTAAGAAACACATGAAGACTCACTCAAGAGAGGATCGTTTTAGATGCAGTGAATGTGGAAAGGGCTTTAAAAGTAAAAGAAGCCTCAACACTCACATGAAGCTTCACAATGGAGAGGAGAGTCCTCAACATTGAGGCCTTGTCCACACAAACACGAGTATATTCAAAACGGCAGCTTTTTCACGTAGTTTGGCTGTTCATTCAAGTGAAGTTTATTTATAAACTACTTTCAAGAGGATCACATGCTTATGATTGTCCACGGCCGGTCCTGCATTAGCTAAAACATGATTCACCATTCAGATGATTCCTAACTCACTATAAATAACCTCTTAACTCAGTTATCTTTGTCTTGAAGAATCCCTCTCCCACCCTTACTCCCCCTCCTTTCTAGATTGGGCAACACAGCAGCCAATGAATAGCCAGTGGTTAGCACTGTTGCCTCACAGTAAGAATGTCGCAGGTTAAAGTCCCTACTAACCAGTTAACATTTTTGTGCAGAGTTTGCTCACTCTCCTTGTGCTAACGTGGGTTTCCCCTGGGTCCCCTGGTGTTCTCCCACAGTCCAAAAACACACAACCTAAGTAAACTGAACATTAAATTGGCACCATAGTCGAGCTCTTAGTAAGCCTTATATCTCCCTTTAGCCGACCCTATATCTGTCATTAGAATAGAAAGAAGTCTGGGGAGTTCATCGAGATCTACCTGAGCTCACACTCCCCTCTCGTCCTGCTTACGGGATGGAGCCCAGGGCTCGAGGATCTTATGAGCTTAGGTCTCTCCCGGGATAGCATGCCAAACAAGTGTGAACTCTTGAATGCATATCAAGTTACTGATAATGAAACCCTTTGAACACCTGAAAATTTAAACTCAACTGAAGAGGGGTGAAGATCTTGCCAGCTGTTTGTAGTGTAGATCAGGGGTCACAGCCCAGTACCAGGTTGTGAGAGTTGCTATCGGGCTGCAAGAAGGCAAAATAACTCTATATGTTAATAGATTGTATTGGCTTGTTTCATATGCAACAAGTATCTACTTCTGATAAGATGTGAACCAAATGACCTAGAGGAACTCAGGAGATGTGACCCAACCAAAGCAGTTGGGTAATCTCCAGGGGGGTTTCATCCTTTGTTATAAATTAGTGTCTCACAGACTGTATTTTGGTTTAAGTTACTTAAAGACAGACAAGTTAACATCACTGCTGATGAACTGCACAATTAATTCTCTTCAATAAAGTCTTCTGCCCGTAAGAACTTTGGTCAGCTTACTTATTTTATGTATTAGAGTTATCTATACATTTGCGAGCCACTCAAGAATGCTTAAGCCAAATACAGCAAAATCTGACAATGTGCTTCAACTTATTATGAACCGACAACCTTATTTGTGCACATATTTGTGCAGGGTTCCACACAATTCTTTCATGTTGTCACAACACAAATTAAGTTAACTTAACACTTTTAATAAATTTATGTGGATTAAATATTAAGGCCCTATCCCAATTCTATTTTTGAACCCCTACCCCTTCCCCTTGGCCCTTACAACCGAGGGTTAAGTTGAAGGGCTTCAAATTTTACCCCTAAGAATTGGGACAGCACTACAGTACCTGCACACGTCATCATATGTCCTCATGATTTTTTGCTTCATATGAGATCAGACGATCGCGACTGCTGTACTTATTTCAGTTGTTATTTTTGGGTATTTATCTTCAGGAAATGACTGAAGGTATATGTTATCATAATGATCTAATGTGGCAATAGGATCGTAACAGTACTGTGCATTTAACACAGTGGTCATACTCATCAATGTAAACACACAACAACAGCATTAACATTATAGCAGACACTGTAAAAAGCTCATTGACAGCCACTAGACTTTTCTGACGGTATTCCAGTGTCATCGAGTGTCAGAATTTTGTGGGACTGCTGTACAGGAGTTATGATTAGGGATTAAAGCAGCAAAATTAATAGAAAAAAGATTGCGACCTCGATTTGACCCCCTTGACGATCTTTATCCAGCAGTTCTACGATTCTGTCAATCATATTTTCAAGTTAAGGAGAGAAGAAAAGGCGGCTGCATGAGTCTTTTCATTGTTTCACATAATGTTGCTCAGTGACATGGACACCTCCAAATGATGTTAAAAGTGTCACATACTGTATTTATAAGTTATAATTCACCTGAAAATGTCATTCTTGTCTTCATATAATGATGTTTTCGCAGCTGGGAAACTAACGTGATGTGAGCTGCTGACCGTGAGAGCACGCTCAACTTAATAATTGACACGCACGCGCCTACTTTAGTGAACAGAACTTGCAAATGTTGTAAGTAACAGGTATTACAGTTTTAAATAATATTCAGTTTGTGGCACAGAGTGATCGTTTGGGAGCTGCGCGCGAAGTATGAAGCACTTAGCACTTAGTCAAAATAAAACCGCAAGTGTGCACTTCATTTAAATGATCATATCTCATTTTAGAGTTATGATTACGACAAGCATTTGATTTTTGATTTTTTTTATAGCGAACAGAGTTGTGCATGAAAATAAATGTTTACAGTGTCAGTATAACTACTCTAGCCTATATATTGTTGAATATAATCTGATAATGTCAAATGTCTGATTTTACTAGTGAATAAAACTGTCTAATAATGTTGTCAATGACAGATTGCAAGCATAATCAAATCAAATAGAAATACAAGTTCCTCTTAGCAAATCAGAAATCAAGACAATAATTAAAGAAGGTGTTAATAGATTATGGCAAGAGAAATGGGATAAAGATGAGAAAGGCAGAGATAGTTACAGTTTTCCAGCTTTATTCAATATATCCTCTTTATTGTTCAGCAGAAAAAAGAGCTAAATATGTTTGGAACAAGTAAATGTTGAGGCTAAATGACATAATTGTTAGTTTGGGTGATCTATTCCCATCTATCACCAAGTTAAATTATATAAATTGATGTTAAAATGCCTAAATAATATCGATATCATTAAAAAGATCTGCTATCTACTATTTTCACATTGAGGTAATCTTGTATTGATAATTTCTGGATTTTAATTATGTGTAAGTTGCATAAACTCTATTATTTAGCCACTCACTGTTGTTTTCAAATTACTCATGTAACTTGTCTTTCAGAATGTTTATGGTTGTTAAAGTCACCTCAGATCACAGTGTTGCTATATTCCTGATCTGTGGAAAGAAGAATTAGATGAGGTAAGGAGTATACTACTCTATTTACTATTATATTAAATGCAGTTATGTTATTCAAAACACAGTATGTCCATAGTGTGGAAAATAGATCATGTTTATGAAAAATTACTTTATTGTTTTGTACAGCTGTTATTGAAATGACACTATGTGTAACAGTCCATTTTACAGCGAGTAATGCCCCAACTACAGGACCTCTTCTTCTTTCTCTTCTCATAATTTAAGTAAGTATTCAGAGACTAACTCTGACTTCTGTTAACTCAAACCAGCTTTCCCTGTCTCTCTAAATTCATTTAATTGTATGTAATTTTAGTATATGATAGATTATTATATATGTCAAGCATATATATATATATATATATATATATATATATATATATATATATATATATATATATATATATATATGTGTGTGTGTGTGTGTGTGTGTGTGTGTTTGTGTAATAAAATCTATACTTTGTTTTATACTGTTTGCTTATAATATTAGATGTGCACTGTATGTATTAAATGTTGTGAAATATATAATAAAAAGTTTGATCATATTCATTTGTGTGGCATTTTTATACTTTTTAACAACTGCAAGTTTACACATGCAGTTGTTAAATTAAAAAGGAAAATTAAATGAACAATGTTTAATATTAATAGAATTACTGCTGTATCCTGTATTCTAGGCAGTATTGATAAACTGCCACAAAAAAATTAAACAAGTTGTAAGAATGCCGTCTCACAGTTGCTGAATGTCACACAAATTTTATTTTATGAAAATGAACAAATTATTTATAACCTCAGCAAAACATCTTGTATGATGTCTTAATTAACCAATAAGGGCCAGTTAATAATGTTTGAAAGTTTGACTAAATATTTTAAATCTTGGATTTTTATTTAAAAAATGATGTGCAACGATTGCATATTTTATCTGAAAATGAATGTTTTGTCCAATATTTCATTATTACGAATAGTTTTTTTTATAATCTATAAAGTTGGGTTTGTAAAGGGACACATTACCTTTCTGAAAATACACATTTATTAATCACACTGAAATGAAGATATACTTTGAATTTGTCCTTGACAGTGATGACACAATTTGAGGTTTGTTTGCTGTTTTTCTGTTAGTAGATTAATTGTAAAAAGTGCAGGAGCTTGACCAACATTCATTTCTTACAGTCTAATGTCTAAATAATACAACAACTTTGTGGTTAAATTAAAAAATCTTAAACTTTATTTATTTATTTATTTATTTATTTTTGGATGTCTCAAAGGCACTTTTTTTTAAGTTGTTTTAAAATGTTTAGATTAAAGGTTTTGATCAACTTCAAATACTGAACATCTGTGTGATTGTGTGAAAGAGAGAGAAAGAGAGAGCAAGTGTAAAGTTGAAAACTTGGGAGAGAAATGTATGAACAAGTCATGACTGCAACAGTAAGTGGCAAAAAACTAAAAACAAAAGACTTTTATTTTGGCGTGGCGTGTGACGTCATTAGGCTGCGCCGCTCTTGCGCTTGATTCAGCTGGAGAAAGGTTTGTTTTTAAAACCTTTACATAAATATAAAGCGATTGATTCAAGTTTCAGGGTTTTCATCCGATGCTATAAATTATGAACCTGCTGTTGACATTATTTTGACCCTTTTTACAACGAAGTACTATTTACTCACAGTAATTAGGGCTATTGTTTGAATAAAGCAACTGAAATGTCAGTAATAAGTGTTTTAATTAAGGTTTAATTTATTAAAAGCATAATGTCATTCCATTCTAAGGATAAATCACTATATATAAGAAATGGAGTACTAGTTTTAATCACCTCATTGTGTCTTGCTCAGACTTAATTTATTTTGTTAATGACTCTCATATGAAACTGTTAAAGCAAGTATTAAAGAGAAGTTATTTTGATTCTGTTTATTGTTTTGTTTATTTTAATCAGGACGTTTTTAATGTTTTTTTTATTTTATT